GGTTGCTATGAGTCAGAATCAACTTGGTTACTTAATTTTTAGTAATAGCTGTATTTCATAACTGACTTGCAAAGTTCTTGAACATCTAACAACTGACTACCAGAACTGGTCTTCACTGGCTCTAGCAGCATACTCAAGGTACTACCATTGCATGTCACAGTTTCTGAGCATGCTTGTGGTTAGTACTGTAGTTAAGAATACCAGCCAGCACATCACCCTGGAACACCGAGCATCTTGTCTGTCTGCAGGTTGGCTCCCAACCCAGTGGATGATGCAGGACTGCTGTCCTTTGCCATGTTTTCCTGGCTCACACCAGTGATGATTCGAGGCTGCAAGCACACACTGACTGTGGACACCCTGCCCCCATTGTCGCTGTATGACTCATCTGACACCAATGCCAAAAGGTAGCCGGGCTTGCTTGGGTCACCTTGGCAGAGAAGCCCATCCTGGGAAGGGGCTGTCTGAGTGCCTTTGCATGCTTCCATTTCCCAGGTGTGACAGCTCTTTGAGCCATTGAGACTTTTTGGAGGTGAGCACTGGGTAGAGTTTTGGGGAGGCGGAGAAAGGAGGGGTTGGAGAACTATGGCCTGAGGCTGTGGCTGAGAAGTTGGCTGCTTTGCAGGAGTGCCATGTCAGGACAAGGGTAGCTAGAATTTCCCTTCGCTCTGTGCTGGTGGGATCTCCCTGGGCTGCTGCATGCAGCTCTAGGCGTCATGTTCTCCTTCACTCTAGAAATTGTTACTGGACTTAATATATTACAAAATGTATTTAGGTTGAACCAAATGAAACTGCTGATCTTTGGTATTTTTGACATACAAAAGCAATTATTACATGTGATTCAATTTCATTCATGTTCATTATAAAAGTGTTGTTAAAACAACAGAAGTTATAAAATTAAACAGTGGAAGTACGCCTACCACTCTCCAGCTCCACTCCCCAGAGGTAAACACTGTTAAATGTTGGCATAGATCCATTCAGAATTTTCTCTACTCTTGTTTAAACACTCCCTGTGCTACTGTCCTCTGAAGATCAATACCTCTTTTTCTTGCTCTGCACTGACAGGTCATGTTTTTTTTTTAAATTTTAATAAAAAATGAAGGATACTTTATAATTACTGATGACTTTGCTATTTTCAGCTAAGAGATTACCAAGATTTTTACCAAGTTAGCACAAAGACATCAACTTTATTCTTTATAACATTTACATCGAACTCTATGGTCCTGAAGAACCATAGTGTCTGTATGAGAGTTCTCCAAGCCCTCTGCATCTGTTTCTCTTGGGAGTCTCCTTATCTTTGGCCACAAGGGGCAAAGCACAAGGTACAGCCTGGAATATATACTTAAAGGGCCAGAGTTTTAGTCTCGGCCCCACAATTGCTTCCAGACTTGTGCTTGCCTTCTATGTGCACCCCAATGAAATCTCAATCAGGTGGTAGCTTCCGAAATACGCAGTCTGAAGTAAGTTACAAGGTAGCATTGAGAAAAAGGGGCTGGATCAGTACCCCATGGGACCACCATCTGTTAAGTCCCAGGTCTATCTCTCCGGCCAGTACTTCTCAGTCCATTTTTATGTTTCACTCCATCTATTTAAGGAGTACTTGGGTGGCAAAATAGTTAATGCAATTGGCTGCTAACCTTAAGGTGGGCAGTTAAAGACTACTGTCATGAACTGAATTGTGTGCTCCAAAACTATGCGTCGACTTTGCTGGGCCATGATTGTCGTAGGCTGCAGTTATTTAAAGATGTAATGTGGCAGTTATATAATGATCCCCCGTGATGTGATCTGATGTGATAAGCCTATCCAATGTAAGAGGATTAGGGTGGGATGCCACACCTTTAATTCTGTCACCGCCCTCAACTGATGTAAGGGGAGTTTCCCTGGTGTGGCCTACGATACCTTTTATGTTACAAGAGATAAAAGGAGACAGAAGGGAGCAGAGAGAAGGGGAGCTATTGCCACCAACAAAGAAGAACCATTAGCAGAGCCCGTCCTTTGGACTCAGGATCCCTGTGCTGGGATCCTCCTAGGATGAAGAGACACACAGAGAGAAAGCTTTCCCCTAGACTTAGCACTCTGGATTCAGATTTCTAGCCTCCTAAATGGTGAGAGAATAAATTTTAGTTGTTAAAGCCACCCACTTGTGGTATCACTGTTAGAGCAGCACTAGATAACTAAGAAGGAGCTCATAGCATAGTGCCTAAGACATCTCACTGCTTACCAGAAGGTTGGAGATTCAAACCCACCAGCCACTCTGCGGAAGGAGGACTGAGCAATCTACTTCTGTAAAGATTTACTGCCTCAGAAACCCAATGGGGATCACTATGAGTCAGAATTGACTCAATGACAGTGGGTTTGGGTTTTCTTTTTCTTTTTTAGATAACTAAGACAACTACCCTAGGAGCTCTGGTGGCATAGCGCCTAAGGTACTTGACTGCTAACCAGAAGGCTGGCGGTTCAAACCTACCAGCCACTCCTCGGAAGGAAGATTGGGCAATCTACTTCCGTAGTGATACTGCCTCGGAAACCCAAGGAGGGGTCGCTATGAGTCGGATCTGACTCGACGGCAGTGGGTTAAGACAACTACCCAGAGGAGCTGTGAAAGAAAAGCCTGGAGATCAACTTCTGAAAATTAGACATTGAAAACCCCATGGAGCACAGTTCTACTCCATCATACATGGGGACAGCATAAATTGGCATTGGCTTGGTTTTGGGTGTTTCTCCCCCCGCCAATCTATGCAACATCAACTTAAGTCCTCTCTTCTTCTATGCTATGGTACACCTCTAGGTAATCTCATCCACTCCAAAGGCTTCAAACACACACTGAGAACTTTTAACAACATGTCTACCTCAAGTTCATGCCTCTAAATTCCAAACTCTGAATTCATACGTTCAGCATTCGATACCTCATAGGCATCTTCTACCTAAAGCTGTGTTCTTGATCTTCTGCCCCAACCTGACAGTATTTTCCTCCTCTTCCTCTCTTTCCCATGGTGGTGAACTCCATCCACCCAGTTGCTCAAGCCAGAAAATGGGGAGTTATCTTTGATTCCCCTTCTCCTTTTCTCCCCCTTCTGATTTATCAGTGAGTCTGGTTGTCTCTTTGTCTACCTTTTCTTATATCCACTGCTACCCCACACCAAGCCACCACCACCTCTTACCTGGACTCCAACAATCTCCTACGTGGTCTCCCTGCTTTTGCCTTTGCTTACCCCTGTAATCCCTCAATCTCGCGGTATCCAGAGTGATCTTGGAAATAAGTAAAATGACCTTGTCACATCTGCTCAAAGACCTGTCATGGCTTTTTTTTTCACTCTTGGAATGAACTCCAGGATTCTTTCCCGAGGCTTCTGAGGTCCTGTGTGCCTTGGCTCGGCCTTGCTACCTGGTGTTATCTCAGGCCCTCTCCCTTATCACCACATACTGTCAAACTGGCCTTCTTTCAGATCTGCCGAATGGACAAGCTCCTCTCCTGCCTGGAGAAGACTTTTCCCTTCATTGCTCTGTTACTTCCCTCTTCTCAGAACTTGTATGGTGGTAATAAGGGGCTTGGCTGCTAACCAGCAGCCAAACGCTCCAGCTGCTTCACAGAAGGAAGATGAGGCAGTCTACTTCCATAAAGATTTCCAGCCTTGGAAACCCAATGGAGGTTGCTATGAGTCAGAATCGACTTGATGGCATGAATTTTGTTGTTGTTTGGTTTAATAAGAGGCATTGGTGGTTCAGTGGTGCAATTTGCACCTTCCATGTGGGAGACTTGGTTTCAATCCTTGGCCAATGCACAGGTGCAGCCACCCCCCATCTGTCAGTGGAGACTTGTGTGTTGCCATGATGCTAAACAGGTTTCAGCAGAGCTTCCAGACCAATGTGGACTAGGAAGAATGGCATGGTGATCTCCTTCCAAAGATCAGCCAATGAATGCCCTGTGACTCACAATAGCCTAATCTACAATGGATTGTGGGGTGGTATAGGACCAGACAATATTTTCTTCCATTGTGCACAGGGCCACCATGAGTTTGGGCCAACTCAATGGCAGCTAACAGCACAACAATATGGCAACACTAGATGCCTGAGATGGACAGTAGGAGGAGGAAATACCAGATAGTCAGTCATACCAGCTTGTGTCTAGGCTCTGTCCCCTGCTCCAATCTGAGGCCCCCACTCCAGGAATGAGGATTGTGCTAATTAGCCATGCAAAGGGGTGTCCATCAGAATAGCTTCAAACAGCAAGTAGAAATCTAAGTCCCTTTCTTGCCTCCTGCCCTTTCGTCACAGATTTCGAATTCTTTGGGATGAAGAGGTAGAAAGGGTGGGTGCTGAGAAAGCTTCCCTGGTCCAAGTGGTCTGGAAATTCCAGCGGACGCGGGTTTTGATGGACATCGTGGCCAACATCCTGTGCATCATCATGGCAGCCATAGGACCGGTGAGTGGGGCTGGCCCTTCTTCTGCCTCATTTCCTAGGTCTCCAGACCTGCAAAGAACGTCATTAGTTAGTTTCTCTATGAGCTGGTGGGTTTAGTACATTATCATTATCTTGCTCCTTGGGGGCGAATTTTCATAAAGCTAATCCTTGTCAAGCACAGCAGCAGCTACTGAAATTAATTAGAAAGTTTGCCTCATAAAATCAGTTTGCTGACATTATCTGAGACCTCCTGTACCAACTTTGGCCCCCAGAGGCCCTCTCCTCTCTCCACTGCACTGTTTTACAGACAGTTCTCATTCACCAAATCCTCCAGCAGACCGAGAACACCTCCAGGAAAGTCTGGGTTGGCATCAGCTTGTGCATTGCTCTTTTTGCCACCGAGTTTACCAAAGTCCTCTTTTGGGCCCTTGCCTGGGCCATAAATTACCGCACGGCGATCCGGTTGAAGGTGGCTCTCTCCACCATGGTTTTCGAAAACCTAGTGTCATTCAAGACCCTGACACACATCTCTGTTGGCGAGGTAAGCTGGTACAGGAGGAGTCTAATTTTAGAAATGTAAACTCTGAGTTTTCTGAATATATGTGAGACATGCTTCCTGGATGGAGCATCTGCATATCCTTTGTTTGTTGAAGTCCTGCCTATTCTGTGCCATCTTCCTGCTATGCTAAGTGGTGGAGACTCAAAACACTGACAGAATTTGGAGGGAGGAAGGCTCTGTTCAAGCTGGGGAATTTGGGAAGTTTTCCTAGTGTTCCAGCTGGAACAGGGCTTAGAGGTGACTTCATCAAATCCTTTGGGTTGTCAGTGAGAACACTGAGGCACACTATAGGTATTTGGTATAATTGATTGATGGATTCGATAATTCCAATTGTATAGCAACTGGGGTGCCAATATCAAAATGAAGACCATGCCTGCTGGATTTTAAAGTTGAAATTTTCATCAGCCCATAATCCTTAGCAATAAAATCCTCACCACTTATGTAAGGAGATTTCCCAGGTCAACAGAATCCCAGATGTTATGAGCTAAGGGAGGAGGCCCTGGGTGGTGCAAATGCTTAATGTGCTCAATTGTTTACTGAAAAGTTGGAGGTTTGAGTCCAGCCAGAGGCACCTCGGAGGAAAGGCCTGGTAATCTACCCCCTAAAAATTGAAGCCAAAACTAGACTCACTGCCGTAGAGTAGATTCCCACTCATAGCAAACCCCATTAGGTTTCTAAGGCCATAAATCTTTACAGAAGCAGACTGCCTCATCTTTCTTCCTCAGAGCAGCTGATGGGTTCAAACCATAGACCTTTTGGTTAGCAGGCAAGTGCCTTAACCACTATACCACCAGAGCTCCTAGTCCCCAAAACCAGCCAATGAAAACCTTACAGAGCACTGTTCTACTCTGACACATATAGGTTGCCATGAATCAGAATCAACTTGATGGCAACCTATTTTATGAGGTAAGGCAAAGGACTTGCTTCATTCTTGCAGTTGCTCTTTCAGTATATTCAAAGAATCCTGGATCAATTATGACTAGAATTAGCTGCATGTAACAGAAAACCCAAGATAATAGTGATTTAAACAACATCAATTTATTTCCCTCTATGTAAAAGGAATCTGGAAGAGGGTAATCTAGGGCTGGTTTGGGGGCTACCCGATCCTTCTACCATTCTGTCTTGCTATCCTAGCACATGGCTTCCATCCCAAGGGTTACCTAGTGGCTTAAGATGGATGCCGGAGATCCAGCCATCTCAACCGTGGTTCAGACAGCTGGCAGAATGAAGGAGAGAAGGATAAAAGGGGTGTGTCTTCCAAGTTGAGTTGGCTCTCTTTAAGAATCCATTCCCAAAGTTCTATTGGACACTTTGGCTTCCATCTCAGTGACAAATAGTTACATGGTCACACTCCTTCCACAGAGGAGGCTTTTAGCTGGACAAGTTGTTGCCCTAGATAAAGCATGGTTATGCTAATAAGAAGAAAGGGAGAATAAATACAGGGTAGGCAGCTAGCAGTCTCTCCTACATGCTCCTAGATGATAATAGTACTCTTTTAAGTCTTTCTTCATTGGGATTCTCAGTCAAAAAGAAGGGCACCGCCAAAGTCATGCCAGAAAGAGACACAAAACTCATCATGTTGGACCCTTATATTCCCCACATTAAGACTTTTTTTCTTTCCTTTTATCCTCAAAGCCTTTGGTCATTTTGAAAGCCTTCTTTTGAGAACATATTTGGGTAATCTTCCAAAGCCTGAACACATGTGCTTTTTTCCAGGTGCTCAATATACTATCAAGTGATAGTCATTCCTTGTTTGAAGCTGCCTTGTTTTGTCCCCTGCCAGCCACCATTCCTATCCTAATGGCCGTTTGTGCAGTATATGCCTTTTTCATTCTGGGGCCCACAGCTCTCATCGGAATATCCGTGTACATCATATTCATTCCCGTCCAGGTAATGGAAGTTCATTGTGGTTGTCAGTGGTTTACATTTTGCATTTTGCACACATCCCTTTGCTGAGTGGGATAAAAGGCTTCATTTCTTGGGTAGACCTGAGGCCTCTTTGTCCATTCTATGCCTGCAGGTGTGATATCCATGCACCTACTCTGTGTTCACAGGTGTGGTTTGTTTTGCTGACAAAAAATGGCAGTGGTTTTTTTTTTTAAATGGAATTTGGATGCCCTGGGGAAGGGAGACGTGTTCTTCAGTTCAGGTAGCCTCCAGTCCCCAGCACTCCACTGGCATATGCAATTCATACATTTCTATCACTTCCTGATCTCCCACACCATGTCAGCTGCCACAGCACAAGGGAAGGACTTGGCCGAGGCTCTCCTGCCAACTTATCTCAGAACTTTTCCTGGCACATTCTGATCCCTGGCTCTTTAGGCCAATTGCCACTCAGCAATTCTCCCTGAGCACAATGTTTGTCCCTTGATTTCAGATGTTTATGGCTAAGCTCAATTCAGCTTTCCGAAGATCAGCAATTTCAGTGACAGACAAGCGAGTTCAGACAATGAATGAGTTTCTGACTTGCATCAAGCTGATTAAAATGTACGCCTGGGAGAAATCCTTTACGAACACCATTCGAGGTAGGATAGCAACGGCTCAAAGAACCATTTCTCTGTAGAATGTGCCAGGCATTCCAGAAGGGACTGAAGGCGGGTGTGTCCTGAGCTGCTCAGCAGGCTTTTCAGAGATTTGGGAGATTTTATAATGGATCCAAGCATCTGTCCCCATGAACCCAAGAGCTCAGCGGGCTAGTAACATATGGTCTGGTCTTTTCTGGGGCACAGGGATGCTGGTACTGACCAGCTGACTTTTATAAAAATCATCCACTAAAACAATATGAACAGGAGAAGAGTTATCTCAAGTGATTTCCTTGGCTTAGAAGATGTCTATACACACACACACAACACACACACATGCACATGCACATGCACACACATGTACACATGCACTCACACACACTTACACATATATCTCCTCCTACTCTCCTGAAACAGTCTTATCATGTTTGGAAGAGCCCACTAACTCAACATTCCTTGGGCAGGTACAGGGATGCATACATAGCTATTTGTTTGTTTTTTTTAAAAAAGATGATATTAACACGATTTCAACCAGATATAAATGCAAATCTAATCACAGGGACATTTACATAATTGCTGACATAGACTCAGGTGGTTGGCCGGTTAATGATCTGAATGACTGTTACAATTGACTCTCTGAATCTACAATTATACTTTTGCACCAGTGTGTAATTGGGGCTGAAGTGTGTATCTCCATTTTGGGGTATGGCTGGAGGAAACCTGCTTCTGAGCTTGCCAAAGGATGTGCCCCAAGTTGGGACACCTACAGCCCCCTGTGACCCTCTTGAGGACTCCAAAGCATTTCCTCGCCCATTCAACTCAATTCAATTCAATTTGATTTGATTCTGTTCGACTTAATTCAATTTAACGTACTTAATTTATGTCAGTTTAATTCAATAAATATTTACCATGTTCCTACTATGTGCAAGGCCATAGGAGCTACACAAATGATCAGGAAAAGCATCAAGGTTTTTCAGATTCATGTAGGCTGAACTAACAAAGCTCAAAAATAGCTATAAGTTTATTGGCTCTCCCTCCGGAATATACCCAGGATCCATCTGCTTGCCTCTGTTCCACCACCACCGTAGTCCAAGCCAACATTCTCTCCCTCCAGGACTATAAAAGAACTTCAAAGGCTCCTCCTGCTTTCCCCTTGTCCTTACAATCCATTATGTGGCCAGCAACCAGAGTGACCTTTTAAAATGTCAATCAGATCATGCCCCTCCCCTGCTGACAAGCCTTTAGTGGCATCTCATGACACTTAGAGTTATTCAAACTTAGGAACTTTTACTCAAATCCAAATTCCTTCACATAGCCTATTAGGTCTGGCATGATCTGGCCCCAGGTGACCACTCTGACCTCATTACATCTTACACTAACCCTTGATAACTCACTCCAGCCATGCTAACCGTCTGTCTGTTGCTAGAACAACATGCCCAGCTCATTCACTCCTCAGGATCTATGTACTTGCTATTGGCTCTGCCTGGAATGGTTTCCTGCTAGATGTTCACAATGACTTTGTCTTGACTTTAGGTCTTTTAAGTGTCACAGCCCCAAGCAGGTCCACTCTCTACCAGTTACTCTGCATCACTCTACCTTGTTTGTTTCTTTCCCATCACCCAAACACAAGGTGTTATTTATTTCTTTGTTGTTTATCTTCCCTCTGGAAGAGGACTGAGCCTGTTTACTCCTGTGTTCCCCAACACTAACCACAATGCCTGGCATATAGTAGACATCAGATTAACATTTGTTGAATGAGTGACTACATGGATTCATTATTCTACAGAATGAAATAGGGAAAGTGCCACAAGAGAAACTAAGTGAGCTTTTTTGGGGGTTTTGGGGGGGAGCAAATTGAGTTGGAATGACTATGGCAGAGGTGGCATTTTAGAGGGGCCTTGACTGGGGAGGTTTTGGACACACAGAGAGTTGGGGAAGACACCAGGAGGGAGCAGAAGCCCAGAGGTGGAGAGGTGTGGGTGTGCTTACAGAAAAGGGGGTTGCTGGGTATCCTTGAGGTGAAAGGCACCTGACAGGAGAGCTTTGGATCACAGTAAAACTGAGTTCCAGTCTCGACTCCATCACTTAATAAGCAAGTAACTTAACCTCGCTTAGATTATTTCTTCTCCTATCAAAAGGGCATAATAATAGTCATACAGTGGGGAGAACCATCTAGCAAGATGGCGCATGTGAAGTGTTCAACAGAGCATCTGACACGTAGTGAGCACTCAGTAAGCAACAGCCATGGCTATCACATTGCTAACATGGAAGAGATTTTGAAGAGAAGGCTGGAATGAAGGTTGTTGAGGATTTTAGACACCAGAGGAGGGAGGCTTGAGGTTAGTTTGTGAACAGTGCAGAGTCATCTTGATTTTTTTATGGCCATTCCTGGGACACAAGGCACGGGCCCCAGTTTTGTAGTCTTTAGACCATATATACTCAGTTTCTCACTTAACTATTTAAAATGTTTCTCAATTAATTGTCAACATTCACAAGTAGGGGAAAGTCTCATAAAAATCTGGATCTCAGACTTCTTCCAAACAATTGAAGGATGACATTAGGCTCCCTTACCCACATGGCAACATTGACTGGCACTGAGGACAGGCTACCCCTTTCAATGAGGCTTGGGCTCCTCATTTTGAACATTCCACACCCTCCCTCAGGTCTTACATACTGACCACTGGCTTAAGTTACATTGCTTGCCTAGCTCCTGGAGGCAGCTGAGTTATGGCTCCTGACACACAAGTAATCAAGATAAGAAAGGACTTTGGAAATCATGGTATCTGACCTGTACTGGGTGCAGAGTTTGTGCTCTGTGCTTTTTATATGCTCTCTCTCACTAAACTTCACAACAGGAGCTTCACAAACACTCATTTGAAGGAGATCATGGAGGGTTGATGCATTTCTTAATGCTGGTGCTTGACACTCAAGACAAGGTCACTTTGGACTGCTTTCTATTTCACAGATGTAAGAAAGAGGGAAAGGAAGTTATTGGAAAAAGCTGGATTTGTTCAAAGTGGAAATTCAGCCCTGGCACCCATTGTGTCCACCATAGCCATTGTCTTGACATTCACCTGCCACATCCTCCTGAGACACAAGCTCACTGCCCCTGTGGTAAGAACCGTCACCAGATCTTGCCTCTTTTGCACCCCAGCCACAGCCAGTCCCAGATGGGAAGCTCCTCCTCCTCATTTCCTAGCACTGGTATCAGACCACTCAGTCACAGAGGGCCAGACTCTGCCAGAATTCAACCTTAACTTTAAAAGCAAGAGTTTGGGCTGACCTGGAGCCCAGGACTGCCTGGCAGCAATTCTTACCTGATTCATGGCAGGGAAGGGGTCATGGCTAACACTGGAACGTGGTTTTATATTTGGAAAACAAAACTGAAACAAAGCAAGTATGTGGCTGTTTTATTTATATATACTAAAGGATTGGTAAGCACTCTGGTAGTGCAGTGAGTAGGGCATTTGGCTGCTAACCAGAAGGTCTCTGGTTCAAATCCACCAACTGCTCCATGGGAGGAAGATGAGGCAATCTACCTCCGTAAAGATTTACAGTCTTGGAAACCATATGGGGTCACTATGAGTCAGAATCTGCTTGATGGCAGTGGTGAGTGGGATAGGATTAATGGAAGCCTGAGGTCCTGTCCATGGGGCCCATTCAACAGTAGGCAGGATCACTCAGAATTTGCTGAAGGCAGTTGTGTTATTAATTTCTTAAATACGTGGCTATGGAGAGGCTGCTAATTACAAATTGGACAGATGAGATGAAATCTGAGGTTTGAGATTGAGCACAAATGGAGGTGAGGATAGTTGTCATTGAAGCTCTGGGATACTAACTACTTTCCATGCAGCACTCAGTGAAGAAAGCTCCAGTGAAAAGGGGAAATGATTATTTGTGAGCTGCTGTTGAACAAAGGCTTTCAAATCTGACCCTGGTGTGTGAGGAAGTAAGGCATGGAGGCCAAGCCCTGGGAGGAGAACCAGAGGTCACTCTCCAAGACCCAGCATGGACCAATGAGATCTTTCCCAGAGGTTCTGCCTTCATCTTTGAGACTGTGTGTGGTGTGGAAAAGGATGTTCTAGACTCAAAGGGTCAAATGCCTCTGAAGCAACCAAGAAGATGGGATGACTTAGGAAACCATGCATAGGATTTCTTTCTTTAAAATAATTTATCTTATTTTTTGTTGTTACTAAATTATACATAGCAGAATATACACCAATTCAACAATTTCTACAAGTACAACTCAGTGACATTGTTTACATTCTTCAAGTTGTGTGACCATTCCCACCCTCCTTTTCTGAATTGTTCCTCTCACATTAACATAAACTCACTGCCCCCTAAGCTTGGTATATAACTTTTTCAGTCGCTGCTGTGAAAAGAGCACACTGCTCAAGGCAGACATTTTTTTTTTACTAATTAAACTTAAACATTGTTTAGTTTAAAGAAGACTTCAGAGAATATTTTTGGTTTAAAGGTTATCTCAGGGCAATTGATTTTAGGCTTCATCCAGCCTCAGTGGCTGCAAAAGTTCTAAATTCCATGAAAATTTGAAATTATGTTCCATTCCCCCCCCGCCCCCCGCCTTTTGATAAGGATTCTATAGAAATAGAATCTTAGATCAAAATGTTCAGTAATGGTAAAAACTCCTCACTACCGTTGAGTCAATTCTGACTCATAGCGACCCCTCCTTGAGTTTCCGAGGCAGTATCACTACGGAAGTAGATTGCCCAACCTTCAATGGTAGCCAGGCACCATTCAGTTTTTCTGGTCTCATGGCAAAGGATGTAGTCAGTCACATGCATAGAATTTTGAGTGAATGGTCTTGATATCTAGACCTAGTGAGGATATGGTTTGAACAGAGATTTCCAAGTGCATTCAGTTAGAGGCCTACCTGAGACCCTTTCCTCTCTGGATCAACACAGACAAAGGGATGTATTTCCCACCATTTTGGTGAAAATGCAAAAGCAAAAGAGATTAAGATGCTGCTGACTCAATTTTGTCTCTGACCTGTGAAATGTGAAATAATCGTTCCTCTGAGAATCCCACCTGAACCACTGTTTCTCATCTAAGCAAGTTGAATCCCCATGGATATAATGGAGAGCCAATGCAACACCCCATCTTAAAACCTTATACCTTTTTTTGTTGTTGTTGTTCTTCAGGCATTTAGTGTGATTGCCATGTTTAATGTAATGAAGTTTGCAATTGCAATCTTGCCTTTCTCAGTCAAAGCAATGGCCGAAGCCAAAGTGTCTCTAAAGAGAATGAAGGTATAACAAACACTGGGTGAGTAGGGAAGACAGATCTCATTTCTGACAGGGGAATTCTCAGATATGGGGAAGCTGTGTCAGTGCATTGAAGGGCTGGTTCACTGGTCAGCTGGGTGTCGAGAAAAGGGCCTCCATTCAGAGTGGGATCGTTGATAGATATTCATGGAGGGTACAGTTGGATTTTTACAGATCATGTACCTTTTTAGTAAAAATGAGTTATCTGTGACTGGAGATGATGCTCTTGGCCCTCTGCCTTCTACCCAAGCCACAAATCTTAAGTAGTTCCAAGAGTGGGGTTGAGTTTACACTGAGCCATCCCTCTTTAATCTAGTTTCTCCTGTGATGGGTGTGGTGGTGAAAGTAGTGAAGAGGGTGGTGGCGGCACTGAATTTGTATACTCATTTAGTTACTTTATTTACTCATCCATCAAAGATTTATTGTATGTCTTCTCTTTGCCAGATACTGTAATAAACGCAAATAAAAGGAAGAGATGGTACTTTACCTCAAAAGCCTCCAATGTAGTATAGGATCATGAACTTCAGTGATTTCAAGGATAAGGATATAACTGGCCAGCAAAAAGGGCAGATAAAGTGGTTTTGAAGTTCAGACAAGGAAAGGAAAAAGAAAAGGGAATTCTAGTCAAGGAAACAACATGTTAAGACATCTATGAATTGACTGAATGATCTTATTCACCAAAACCAGAATCTGGAAGTCATCTTCAGCACCCTATGTTCTGTATCCTTCTTCTCACTTGCCACCCATATTTAACCAACCAAGAGCCCTGTTGAGTCACCTCTTGCTCACTATATTCCTTCAATTTTAAGAGGCACCATGTAAGACTGGATTGGAAGGAATATCATTGAGTATATTACTTTTTTAATAAAACATAAAAAACTACTTTATTTCTTACGATCTCAGGAAAAAAATTACAGGTGTCTCTTAGACTAGAACAATGGCATTTCTTGAATCTTCAAATTCCATCTGTCCCTATTGCAATAGACTTCACCATCTTTCATCTGAATGATCACAATGACTTCTGAACCCATCCTCTTTTTTTTTTTTTTAAGTGTTGTCATCTTCAAATTAATATTCTACTACCCCCCAGAAAGCTGTTAAAATATTGGTTTGACCACTGATACTCATCTGGTGAAAATCCTTGGATGTTTCCTTACCTCTTTCAGGATAGAGCCTGAGCCCTCATCTGGTCCGCAGTATGTCCCCATCTCATTTCCTACGTCCTTCCCACCTTGAGCTCTGTGCCTCAGTCATCCTGAATTTCCTGGTTTTTCTCCTGCCCCAAGCAAACCATGCTGTTGCATTCTTCCTTGCTTTGCTCATGCAGTACCCTGTCCTAGAATGCTCTCATCCTCTCTCTACTTTATCATTTTTGTCTATATAGCACCTACTCACCTCTCAAGACTTAGCTCAGGCTTGGACTTCAGGATAGGGATCTATGTGTCCCTTCTCTGGTAATTACAGGGTTTTGTCCTGGTCACATTTCACTGAAGTGACCTGTGCCTATCCCTGTCTCCCCCTAGACTATAATCTCTTCAAAGACATAACTATGCCTTATTTATATTTGCATTTTTACTGTTTAGTATCTGGCTCATAGTAGCCATTTGGCAAGTGTTTTGTTGAACTGAGCTGAGTGGGAACTTAAGAAGAAAACATAGAGATTGAGCAAGTGACCTTGGTTTCATAAGCATTAGTGCCAAGCAATGAAGCTCATCATCCAAAGATTGGCAAGGCCAACTTTCTTGTGTAGGAGGGTGAAACATAGTTGGGACCAGCATTTTCCAATGTGGCTCACTCACATAGGCCTTGTGTCTAAAAAGTCATATGTCCTAGATATCCGCTAGATTATCTATTGCTGCTTCTCCTGGGGGAATACCTTCAGAGTCTTTTTCCTGGATGGTACAGATAGAATTGCCAGTATTGTGATTATGGGTCATTAAAAGATATGTTGAGATGATTCTTACAAGTGGATGAGATCTGCATAGTTAATTTTGTCTCTTTAATCTTAGAAAATTCTCATAAACAAAAGTCTCCCATCTTACATCACCCAACCAGAAGACCCAGATACTGTCTTGCTTTTAGCAAATGCCACCTTGACATGGGAACAAGAAATCAGCAGGAAAAGTGACCTAAAGAAAATGAAGAACAAGAAAAGCCATTTTCTCAAGAAGCACAGGGCAGAGACATACAGTGAGTGCAGTTCACCAGCCCAGGGTATTGTTGGCCCAGAAGAGCAAAGTGGAAGCCACAAATGGGTTCTGCACAATATAAGCTTTGCGGTGAGAAAGGTGGGTATGAATTCTAAAGGTGTGGCTTTACTTTTCCTCCTCGTCTCACACAGCTAGGGCTTTCTCAAGGCCGAATATATTTGAACTGGAAAAGCTGAGATGTCTCTAACTAGGCTTTGTTTTTCTCCCCAAATTGTAAAACTATGTATGTGCACATGAGAGGTAGCCTCTTCCAGCTGAGGGAAGAAGATGGTTATATTAATACTGTTCCTCAGTGTTTCTTGGAGCCAGTTGCAATATTGAACGGACAATCCATGACAGGTGGTTAGATTCAAACCATGTAGCTTTCAAAAATCTTTTCAGGTTTGTTCTTAATTTCATCTTGTAGTATTATGATAGATAATAACTGCCATCAAGTCAGTTCTGACTCATGCTGACCACTTGTGTATCACAATGGAACTGTGTTCCAAACAGTTTATTTTATTTTATTGTGGTGACAATATACATAACAAAACATACACCATCTCCACAACTTCCACATGTGTAATTCAGCGACATTGATTACATTCTTCAAGTTGCACTGCCAAATTTCCCTCTCCCTTTCCCTCCCATTCTGACAACCACTAATGAGCTTTGGTTTCTGTATATTTGCTTATTTCATATAAGTCAGATCATGAAGTATTTGTCATTTTGCAACTGACTTATTTCACTCAGCATGATGTTTTTGGGGTTAATGCATGTTGTGACATGCATCAGGAGTTGAGCTCACTGTTGCAGCCACCGTGTAAATCCATCTCGTTGAGGGGCTTCCACTTTTTCATTCAACCTCTCTTTATGGTTGCGTTACACTTCATTGCATGTAGACACTGCATTTTGTTTATCTAGTCTTCTGTTGGTGGACATTTTTATTGTTTCCATGTTTTGACTACTGTTGTGAAAAACACTACAATGAACGTTGGTACACACGTATCTATTTGTATTTCTGCCTACACTTCTTCTGGGTATATATGTAGGATTAGGATTGCTGGATCTTGTGGTAGTTCTATGTTTAACTTCTTGAGAAAATGCCAATCTGTTTTCCACAGTGATCCCATCTTACATTCCCACCAGCAGTGGATGAGGGTTCCGGTTTCTCCACAACTTTGTCAACATCTGATATTTTTCCTTTTTAGTCATTCTAATGGAGATGAGGTGCTTTCTTGTTGGGGTTTGTTTTGCCCTCATGGCACATTGGTTAAGGGCTCAGGTGCTAACTGAAAAGTCTGCTGTTTGAACCCACCAGGAGCTCTGTGGAAAAGACCTGGCAATCTGCTCTCATAAAGATTACAGCCTAGGAAACTTATGGGGCAGTTCTACTCTGTCATATAGTGTCATTATGTGTCAGTATTGACTTGATAGCACACAGCAACAACAAATGGCTAATGACATTGAGCATCTTTTTATGTGCTTGTTGGCCATTTGAATATCCTCTTTGGTGAAATGTTTGTTCTAGTCCTCTGATCACTTTTTGATTCAGTTGTGTCTTTTTATTGTTAAGTTGTAGAAGTTTTACTATATATATATATATATATATATATATATATATATATATATATATATATATATATATATATAGAGAGAGCCTAGTGCCTAGTAGCCTAGTGCCTAAGGCACTTGACTGCTAACCAGAAGGCTGGCAATTCAAACCCACTAGCCACTCCTCAGAAGGAAGATGGGGCAATCTACTTCCGTAGTGATACTGCCTTGGAAACCCAAGGAGTGGTCACTGTGAGTTGGGTCCGACTCAACAGTACATAACAACAACAACAACACTATTTATCAAGTACACGACTAATACATTTAACCACCTCAACAACCCTGTGAGGTAGGTACTGTAACTAATCCCACTTTATGATTGAGAAAATCTCAGGACAAGGACGTCAAATAACTTGCCAAAGTCACATAGCTAGCAAGTGGCAGAGTATGTCTTCATACCCAGGATGCCTGGCTCTAAAATCTGTGCTCATAACCACCATGAAATACTGCTCCTGTAAAAAGCAAAATTATGTAAATAAACAACCCATCAGGGAAACCAGCCAGAACCTGTTGGCTGCTCTTTTCCTGCAGGACTGGTGAGTGAACACTTTAGACAAAGCTATGGACTTAGGGAATGCTTGGCCTTCTCCTTCATGTGGTTTTCTTGCACTGGGAGCTTGGTAACAGCACCCCCAAGGTAGAAGTGTTGATTTTGTTGCAGAGGGCTCATAATTAATCTTGAGCCACTCCTCGGAAGGAAGGTTGGGCAATCCTACTTCCGTAGTGATACTGCCTCGGAAACCCAAGGAGGGGTCACTATGAGTCGGGGCCGACTCGACGGCACACAACAACAACAGTATTTTAATGTGCTGTCTTGTTGAGTCATCCTTTTCCCATGCAAGCACTGTAAAAGGAGAGGTTCTTATTTATTATATGATGTTAAGCTCAGCAGTTGGTGTGGGGCTGTACCTCTTGGAGCTAACAAGGCTGTATGCCATGTGTTTGTTGGAATGATCGTCAGTCTATCGAGTGCAATTATGCTTGGTTCTCAGTTAAGTCTTGTGGAGTGCAGTCCTCTCTGCCATCTCATCACTCATCCATGTGCATCTGCAGGGCAGCACACTGATAGCTCCAACGCTGCATTTGGAGTTACTCCAGAGCGTCTTCATAAACTGCTCTCATGTTCTAAAAGAAGCTACTTTTAGGCCTGCAATTGCTTCACTTCTAATGCAGTTTCATTAAGATAGTAACTCCTGGATCATGAAAGTCCTGGTCAACATTTGTGAAATACGTTGAAGACGTAGTAGGGACAATACAATGTCATGCAGGTTAAGAGCCTCTAGAGGCTCGTGGGCCTGGGTTCCACTCCAAGCTTATTAGCTGTGTGACCTTGAGTATGTTGCCTAAACACATGTAAGGTGGCTTTCTTAATCTACTACACAGATATGCTAATAATAGTATCCACTTCACAGTGTGTTTGTGAGAACTAAAACTGATAACATGTAAAATGTTAAGCCCATAGTAAGTTTCAACTGATGTTAGCTATTATTGTTGCCTTTTTCTTTCAACAGTCTTGCTTAGCTTTAGTGCTGCCCTTAAATGTCCTAAATTCAGGACATCAAAGTTTTTCCAAACTCTTCATGATTCCATTAGATTGTGAGTTGTGCATCTGTCTTATTCACAGTTGTGCACTAAGCCCAGAGCACTATACAGACTCAGTTCCCAATAATTTTGGTTGAATGAACAAATAATCAGAAACCCAAGGGTGCAGGTATCATGGATTTTTTTGGCTGAAGACAAGGATGAATCTAGAAGGCTCAGACCTGTTTCTAAGTAATGGACAAGATTTAAAGGAGAAACAAGTACCTAGGAAGGCAGGATTCATATCTGTGGTCTCTAGGCCTAGTTCCTGAAATTCCTTTGAATGAAATGAAAATGAATCAACTTCACTTACACAAGGCTTCAGTGGTAAGGTGGGCTCCATAAGGCATGGGCTATATCTGTCCAGGAGCTCTGGTAGCGTAGTGCCTAAGGCATTTGACTGCTAACCAGAAGGCTAGCGGTTCAAACCCATCAGCCACTCCTCGGAAGGAAGATGAGGCAATCTATTTCCGTAGTGATACTGCCTCGGAAACCCAAGAAGGGGTTGCTATGAGTCGGGTCTGACTCAACAGCACATAACAACAAATATCTGTCCAAAAATCTAAAACCAGACCCACTGCCATCAAGTTGATTCTGACTCATAGCAACCCCCATTGGGTTTCCAAGGTGGTAAATCTTTATGGAAGTAGATTGCCCCATCTTCCTTTTATGGAGCAGCTGGTGGGTTTGAACCACCACCCTTCTGGTTAGCAGTCAAATGTCTTAGGCACTGCACCTCCAGAGTCCCTTTCCATCCTTACTGCCTAGCATGGTCACATAACAACAGCCTAGCATGGTGCCTGGCATTCAGAAAGGCTTTTTAAAGGAATTCATGAGGACCAGGAGCCACATTCAGGTGTTGGAGGTGGCAGCAGGTGATGGACCCTTCTGGTCTGGTTTGGGGTAGGAAAGAGGCAATATTTGGCCCCATGTTGGGGAGCATGTCTAAATGAGTATGTTCTTTCTGAGGAGTTCCAACTGTAGGTTGCAATATCTGCTTGAACATACCAGTGGGCACACTTCCACCTCAGGGTTTCCCCAGGGGTAGTTTCTCTGGCAGCAAGGTTCTCCCAGATATCTACTTGGCTCACTCCCTCACCTCCTTCAGGCCTTACTTAATTGTCACAGATGTCAGCAGATGGTGTCAGTGGGTCTGCTGTGTGTCTTCAACCTTTCATTGTGCTCTGAAACTGCAGATTTGCCTCTGTTCCCAAGGGCTCTCCCCACCAACTGCAAAGTGCTAGGAGGATAACAGCCTAAGGAGCAGCCCTCAGACAACGACTCTTGGGATATTTGTATTCCAACTCCCTTGGTCACTGGGTGAGATTTAAAAACAAAACAACAACAACAAACTATAGTCAGTTTCCCTGAGTTTGCGTTTTCTTGCAGGACTGAGCTCCATTTGCCCCTGTGGTAGCTGACCTAATTGTATACTCTTTATGGGCCACCCACCCACTCCTGTATCATTTCCCCTTTCCCCTAACCATGTTTTTTGATCTCCCAATAAGTTACGTCTACTCAGTTCCTCCACCATTTCTCTATCAGTTTGTCATACTATAGTGGCTTGTGTGTTGCTGTGAGGCTGGAGGCTATGCCACTGGTATTTCAAACACTAGCAGGGTCACCTATAGTGGACAGATTTCAGTGAAGCTTCAAGACTAAGACAGACTCAGAAGAAGGAAGGGGCTATCCACTTCTCAAAGAATTGGCAGTGAAAACCTTATAATAGTAGGGGAAAACTGTCTGATATATTACTGGAAAGCTTTAAGAATAACTCTGAAACACTGTTGGACATAGGGCTGAAGATGAGCCCCTCAGGTCAGAAGGTACTCCAAATATGACTGGGAAAAAGCTGCCTCCTCAAAGTAGAATCAATCTTAATGACTTGGATGGAGTAAGGCATT